TGGATGTTTGATTGTGGGGCTTCACATCATATGACAGGTTTTTTGGCTTTCTTGACGGATTTGAGGGCTATTTCTCCTCGTCCAGTTCAGTTGCCTGATGGTTCTATGACTTATGCGTTGCAGTCGGGTGTTGTGTATTTGAGCCATTCTGTCACGTTGCACAATGTCCTTTATGTTCCGGCTTTGAAGTGCAGTTTGATTTCTCTACATCATTTATTAGAGGATTCTCATTCTGTTGTCCAGTTTACTAATAAATTTTGTGTTGTTCACGACCGTACATCGAGGACTCTGATTGGCGCGGGTGAACAGTTGGGGGGTCTCTACTTCTTTTGTGGCTTGTCTCCTGCTCGGACTTCTCATGTTGTTTCCCCGATTTTATGGCATCAGCGGTTAGGGCACCCTTCTGTGAAGGTTTTAAAGAAGTTGTCTCTTTTTGATTCTAGTAGTCCTGTTTTGAATAAATCTTGTGACATTTGTTTCCGAGCTAAACAATCTCGTGCATCTTTTCCCATTAGTACTTCTAAAAGTGTTGAACTTTTCTCTTTAATTCATTGTGATTTGTGGGGACCTTATCGTACTCCTGCTTTTAGTGGTGCGTGTTATTTTTTGACCATTGTTGATGATTTTTCTCGTGCTACTTGGTTATATCTTCTTGATGATAAGAAATCTGTGCCTACTAAGTTATGTGAATTTTTTGCCATGATTCACAATCAATTTGGGAATCTGTCAAAATTTTTCGTAGTGATAATGGTTCCGAGTTCTTGTGTCTGGGTTCCTATTTTCGTCAAAAAGGAATTTTGCATGAAACTTCCTGTGTTGGTACCCCTCAACAAAACGGTCGTGTCGAACGTAAACACCAACACATTCTGAATGTCGCTCGTGCCTTACTTTTTCAAGCTAATCTTCCTATTCCTTTTTGGGGTAATTGTATCTTGACTGCTTTGTACTTAATCAATCGCACTCCCTCTTCTGCTTAAATGGGAAGACTCCTTTTGAAATTCTGTATGGTAAACCTCCTTCTCTTCACCACTTGCGTGTTTTCAGGTGCCTTTTTTATATGCATAGTCTTTCTCACGGGGGTGATAAATTCGCTCCCCCTGGTCGCAAGTGTGTTTTTTTGGGTTATCCATTTGGTAAAAAGGCCTGGTTGGTTTATGATCTAGAATTACGTAAGTTTTCTGTTTCTCGGGATTTTGTTTTTTGTGAGACTGAATTTCCTTTTGCCAGTTCTTCTATTTTATCAGACTCTCCTTCTCCTCCAGTTCTTACTTTCTCTCCTCTTTTTGATGATGATGATTTACCTCCTTCCGAACCAGTTTCGGTTGCCCCCCAGTTTCTCCCTCTTTGCCTCCATCACTTCCCGCTTCTCCTACCTCGTCCCCTTCCTCTGAGGGGTCACCCACCTTGTCTTCCACACTCGAGTCTTTTTCTGCGTCTCCTGAACTATTGGGTCGTGGTCATCGTACTAAATTTCCTTCTACTCGTCTTCATGGTTTCGCTTGCCATCTTAACTCTCCCCCGCTGCTCACTCACCTGCTCAGTTTTCAGGTACTCCTTATCCTATAACACATTTTGTAAACTGTGATTCTTTTTCACCCCAGCATCGAGCTTTCTTGGCAACCATTACTGCAGGCGTTGAGCCTCGGTCCTTTCGTGAGGCCATGCAGGATGCCAAATGGCGTTCTGCCATGCATGATGAGATACGTGCTTTGAATAACAATCGCACCTGGGAAGTTACTTCCCTTCCTCCTGGCAAGCGCGCCATTGGTTGTAAGTGGGTGTTTAAGATAAAATATAATGCCGACAGTTTTGTTGAGCTCTATAAGGCTCGTCTGGTTATCCTTGGTAATAATCAGGTTGAAGGCATTGACTACCAGGAGACTTTTGCGCCTGTTGCCAAAATGGTCACTGTTCGTACCTTTCTTGCTGTTGGTGCCGCCAAAAAATGGGAGCTTCACCAGATGGATGTCCATAACGCCTTTCTTCATGGTGATCTCCATGATGAGGTTTATATGAAATTTCCTCCTAGTTTTCGCACCGGCACTTCTGGTCAGGTGTGTCGGTTTCGTCGGTCTCTGTATGGTCTTAGACAGGCTCCTCGTTACTGGTTTGCTAAGCTTACCTAGGCTTTAAAGCAGTATGGTTTTGTGCAATCTTCCGCTGACTACTCTTTGTTTACCCTTCATCGTGGTTGTATTTCTCTTAGTCTATTGGTATATGTTGATGATCTTGTTTTGGCTGGTAATGATCATGGTCCTATTACTGCTTTCAAACAGTATTTGAGTACTTGTTTTCACATGAAGGATCTTGGCCCTCTTAAGTACTTCTTGGGTATTGAGGTTTCCCGTAATTCGTCTGGCATATTTTTATGTCAACGAAAATATGCCTTGGATATTCTCTCGGAAGTTGGTCTTTTGGGTGCGAAACCTGTTACTTTTCCCATGGACCAGAATCATCCTCTCCTTCTGGCTGAGGGTTCTCCACTCTCTGATCCTGAGCCGTATCGTCATCTGGTTGGTCGGTTGATCTATCTTGCTGTTATCCGTCCTGATATCTCTTACTCGGTTCATATGTTGGCTCAATTCCTGCAAGCTCCACAGCAGGCTCACTGGGAGGCTACTCTCCGAGTTGTTCGTTATTTGAAACAGCATCCAGGTCAGGGTATTTTGCTTCATGCAGATTGTGACCTCCAGCTTTATGGTTGGTGTGATTCTGATTGGGCTAGTTGTTCTCTGTCTCGGCGTTCTCTCACTGGCGGGTTTATTACTCTTGGTGCTTCCCTATTTCTTGGCGAACTAAGAAGCAGCAAGTTGTCTCTCGTTCGTCTACAGAGGCTGAATACCGTGCTATGGCTAATACTATCTGTGAGTTGAAGTGGTTGAAGGCTTTGTTACTGAGTTTGGGTGTTCGCCATTCTCAATCTATGCGCCTTCATTGTGAAAGTCAGTCTGCGTTTCATCTTGTTGCTAATCCGGTTTTTCATGAGCGTACTAAGCACATCGAGGTTGATTGTCATTTTTTGCGTGATGCGTTTATTCAGGGGGTCATTTCACCTATTTATGTTCCCACTGCGTCACAGCTCGCCGATATTTTCACTAAAGCTTTGGGTCAACGGCAGTTTTCTTATTTTTTGTCCAAGTTGGGCATTCGAAACCCGCATGCTCCACCTTGAGGGTGGTTGTTACGATATATGTATATATATTTGTATAGGGTTATTTTCGACTTTTGTACGTACTAGGGTTTCCACCGTAAACCCTAAATGGTGTGTATATATAGTCCCTTTGTGGACTGATCAATAGAGTATCATGTTTTATGCCGGCCATTTAGTTTTTGTCAGTATCCACTTTATCCAATCACTTTCTTTATTATTTGCAACGTCCCAAATTTGTTTCCCAAGTAGTTCTTCATTTGACTGGCTTGGTTCTTTGATGTTTATTCCTCCTTCATTCCTTCTTCCGCATATGTCCTCTCATGCCACTAATGACCAAGTCTTCCCATTTTCTTTCTTCCCCAACAAGAATTCTCTGCATTTGCTTATTATTTGTTAAATGACACTTTGTGGAATGAAGAAGATACTAGCCCAGTATGATTGTAAACTCAGAAGTACAGAGTTGATCAACAGTGTCCTACCTCATATGATAGATGCCTGGTAGTCCAACACCTTATTCTGCCTATTACTTTATCAACAAGAACTTGATAGTCACCTTTATTCCAAGAGCTTGGAGATAAAGGCAGCCCCAAACACTTCATAGGAAAGTTTCCAATTGAGAATCCCATCCTTTTTTGTAGTTCATATTGCACTTCGTCAGATGTACCTCCAAAGTAGGTGTTTGATTTCATTTCATTCACTTTTAGAACTGTTTTATCAGCAAAATGGTCCAAAGTTTCTTTTATCAGCTCAGCAGTATCAAGGTCAGCTCCACTAAATATTAGCAGATCATCTGCAAAACACAATGTCGTGATGTTTAACTTTTCACGATAAGAATGAAGCTTGAATTCATTTATGGTTGTAACTTTTTTAAAACACATGGTCAAATACTCCATTATCATAACAAACAACAATGGTGATATTGCATCACCTTGTCTGAGATCTCTCTTCCTTGGAAAAAATTCCATACTGCTCCCCATTTAAATTCAGTGAATAAGAGCATGTAGTAATACAACTTACTATCCATTTCATGAATCTCTGAGGGAATTTGTAACTTATTAACATCTCCTCTATAAACTCCCAATGCACAGTCTCATATGCCTTAGATCAATTTTCATTTCACAGCTTGGGCTAGCATTCTTCCCTTTATTAATCCTTATCAGTTCCTGAGTTAGTAGTATATTGTGTAGAATCAATCTTCCCTGGATGAAAGCACCTTAATTCGATTTCACCAACTGTGGGAGCACTTGAATAAACTTTTTGCACAGCATCTTGGAAATACATTTGTAGATTGTATTGCAACAAGATATTAGCCTGTACCCAGTAGCATTCTTAGGGCCTTCATTCTTTGGAATCAATGAGATTAGGGATTGTTGATTTGCTTTAGCAACTTCCCTATTTAAAGAATTTCAGTACAGCTTCACATACATCATTTACTATTATATCTCAATCCATGCTTCTTTATAAAAACCATTACTATATCCATCGAGTCCGGCACTTTTGTTAACATTAATGCTAATTGCTGAATAATGCTTCTTTTATATCTGCCTTTGTGAAATTAAATGGTTATTTTTTTTTTAAAAAAAATAATAACTAGGTCTAATTCATAGCAATATTGTAATTTGCACAAAGTATATATTTAATACAAGCACTGTAATGTCTTACACTTTTTAAAATACATGTTCTAGTTTTGATTCTCACTATTTGGAACCTGAACCGAACCATCATCAATACACGGTTCCGTTACATTTTAGAACTGATCAATTAATGAAGATAATTTCGGTTTTTTGGAACCGGACCTGCTTACGATTTGTTTAAAGCTCATTTAGCAACTGTTAAGCACTTGACAATCTTATATTCTTATGGCATTCTGTGGTGCATTAGCATCTATTTCCTTTGTTTCATTCGTCAATTGAGAACTGAATTTGTCCTTACTTTGCTCCTTGAGTTTTCCCCACAGCACACAGTAAAGTCCCACCACTAATAATATTGCACCTAAAACGCTGCCGGGGGGAGTGAAGAAATTTAATTAGTTGAGTAATAATTACTCCTCATCTCTGATCCCGAATAATGATCCAATTTTGTAGATTTTTTGTTGCAAAATACGAGTTTTCTTAACTCTTGATCATTAATTAATAATGAAAAGTTGTACAGCGATAATTGATAAATGGTTCATTCTATTTTTTTTTTCTTGAACTTAAACTAAAAGGTTTGTACATAATATGGTGGCAGAACAAATTATTTTTACGGGACATCAGCAACAATTCACATATGTCTTGAAAGAATCACACTAGTAATGGTATCTTGTCTGTCTTGTGAAGTTTCTCCTTGAACTTAATTTGATTAATTTCCATTGATCATGCTTTTCTAAAGTTTTCCTCCTTATAAATCTGAAATATTCGAAGATACTTCTCTAAGATACAAGAATCAAAGTGGATTACGATTTAAATTAAATCGGCCAGTGAACTAATTGATTTTTTTTAATTTTAATTGGATATAAATGTTACCTTCCCAAGCTAAGTATTTGCCCAAAGAGAATGGCAGCTGCAAATGCCGTACATATCAGAGTCAACGGGGTCCAAATAGCTTGAAATACGGGACCTTTCTTTTGAACAACCCAAGCTTGTAAGAAGAATGTTATACCACTAATAACAATTCCCTGTGGAAAACATAAATTCGATATTCGCATATTTGTTCAATCTTAAAAAGATGGGAAAAACAAGTATTACTGAATCTGATATTAAATAACTGTCTCGTTTCCCATAATAATTAATAAAAGAGTAAAAATAATAAAATAATCATTTTGGGTGGTAAGAAAAAAGTAAATATTTGTTTCATCTAAAACAATTTATAACTTTCTGGAGACTTACACAATAAGTAACTGATAGAAGTTTCACGTTCCATCCAAGTTTCCATTCATTAGGGTTTCTTTCCAAAGCTATGGCAATAAGGAAGCACTGGATAGCACTAAGGAAGCTCTGAAAAGTTGTGCACAAAAGCCTTGAAGGGAAGATTTCCAAGACTTTTCCCTATCACAAAAAGAGTATTCATCAAACAAAAACTTTAAGCTCAATTTTAGGCACATAAAACATCAATGAGCTGAATTTGGACATAAGTGAAAGTAAAAAAGAGAGAGCGGTAAATGGGGCCGCCCACTTGTTGTTCACAGATCTATGAATTTTTTTTTATTAAAAAAAAAACAATACAAAAATATATCATCTTTTTTATATACATATTGAGGAGCTACAAAAAAAAAAAAAAGGAAAAATAACGGAAAACAAGAATAAGAGACAACATCAATTTAACGTCATTCGAGTTCTAGCTAAATTTGGACATTCAGTTGCCGGCCGGCATTGAATTTTGAGACGCAAATAGTCGCAATAGTTTGTGGTCCGCGTTCCAGAATGATTCGAGAATTTTCTTGTTCTTTTTCTTTTTGAAAATCACTTTTAAATCATCAATACGCGAAATCACAAAAATCAAAACAAAACAACAATCCATAACTTAAGCAAAAACATTATATAGTAGTTATTTTGGTACCTGAAATAGAAGCCAAGAGCTCCAAAACAAGTAGGAAACCAGCATTAAAAATACTCCTTTTACCCATGTGGTGCTAGAAGAAGCAATATTTTGACCTTGATCTCCTTCTTTACTATGAATTTTGAGCAAATGATTGTGCATCAACAATCTCAAATAAGGTGGCCCTTTATAGAAAGCAATGGTTATGGCTCCTCCTTGGCAAATTAATATTCCAAAAATCTTTATAATCCCAGGAATTGTTCTCCCATTTAACTTTTCCATCCTGCAAGAATTAAAACAAAACAAAAATTGAACAGAAAGATTTTTTGTATTATAATTTTACAGGGTAAAGCTACAATCCCGTTCACAATTTTGAGGGTATGGTCCCGTTATTTAATTAATAGTCATTAGATCAATTTAAGTTAATCACAATCATAGAATTTGCATTAATTCAAAAAAATAATAAGAAAATTTTTATAGGCAACCTTTAACTATTTAAGGTATATAATTTAATTAGAACAGTACCTGATATGGTTCAAAAGTGAACAAGTCATCTTAACAATATGAGCTCCTTGAAGCGAGCTCCTTGAAGCATACGAAAGTAATTACTTCACAAAAATCAAAATGAGTTAACTTTTTTAATTACCTGAATAAAACAGCAAGGAAAAAGGTGAAAACCGGAATTGTACTAACAGCTGCTGCCGACAAGGTTGCTGATGTGTATTGAAGAGCCAATGTGTTGACGTTCCAACTCAATGTAATTCTACTCACGTTAAACTAAATCAACTTCGTCACTAATATTGCACCCAAAAAAAAAAAAAAGGAAAAAAATCCATATATAGATGGAAAAACAAAAGGAAACGTATTAACTCTTCTTCTTTTCAATTTCTTTATGTTGCCGGGATCGCTTACGATGAGTTTCAAATTCTCAACCTTTGTGGTTGATAATTCTTTCTTGAATAGTTAAATAGAACTAATGGGTTTTAACAGACAAGATAGAAAATTGAAAAACTTACCCAAAAAGAGAAAGAATACACATCTTGAAGAATGCCATGAATGTTAGAGGAGGTGCTGTTTTCCTAGAAGATGATAGAAGAAGTCCAAGTGATACAATATGTATGATATGATTATATGGCAAATGGAAAGAAGACATTTTCTTTTGTTTTTCTTTCTTCCCCTTTAATTCTATGATAAAAAGAAGAACAATGTGATAGATTATTTACATACCATTCCAGAAAGAGAGCTATGGGAGCCAAGAACATAGTTGCTAGAGCTTGTCTGTAGAAAACAAGAATATATGATTTGAGACCAACATTTAGAGCCACCTTGGAGATTATATGCATGCCGGCATAGAGTGCTTGTATCACAACAACAACTACGTAAGGTTTATACGATGGATCCATCTTCAAAAATGTGTATATGGTTATAAGTTTGATGGGATTTTTTTTTTTTGGGTTAAAGATCTGCAAGATAGCTGGTCAAGATAATCATCTATTTCAAGTATTCAAATATTGAATTGTGTGCCTCTCTTTTGCATATATTGTTTAATGAGGTGCATATATTGTTTAATCAGGAACACGATATTTTCAACAAAAGCAATTTACTTCTATCTATATCTAAATAGAGGTTGTAAAATAAGATATATAGCTCGTTCTTATGATCGAGATCGCCGATACAAAACGGAACATCATGTAACTCGCACCACTCAATGGTTTCTCTCAATAATATGTTAACACGTTATGATATAATTGACAAGAAATTTGAAAAAGAATTACGTGGATTAAATCACAATCATTTATATTTATACTTTTCATTTGGAGTTTATAAATTCAAAATCAGTGGGATAGATTAAATTGTAGACACATCATTATTTGTAATTTTTTCTTGCATGTATATATCATTATTTTCTTTTTAAGAAAATATACTTGCACTAGTGATGACTAGAAATAGTCCAACACCAATTAAGAAACAAAGTTTGAAAATTCACTCCATATATTTTCAATTACATCAGAAGATTTGGCAAATTTAGCAAAGACATATATAATACTCTTAAAATACACAATACTTCCCATTTTTTTATTTTTATTTTTTTTAAAACCGTTAATACTTCCCATTTAAAATGAGTTGTATCTCTGAAAATTGATTGGATTAGTCAATATTACAAGTGGTGAACGCTGTGCTACATGAACATAATACTAAGAAAAACATTGAAAGAAATATTGTACCCTGTTTTCACTCTTTCGCGCTCGAGAGTTCGGAAAGATTGGGAGTGTGCAATTCAGGGAAAACAAAGAATATTCAACCCAGGTCACCTTTTAGTACCAAAAGAAATGGGTTATTAGGTTTAACTTTGACAAATTAATGATCTCTTTTTTGATACGGAAAAGAGTTTTGCGTAAGAATCTTTTATTTTTTTTCCTCATCTAAACAAAGAAAGTTACAAAGAGCAGTACTTAAGAATTACTCAAATCAAAAGGAACCGTCGTGCAAATTTTTTTTTTAAGAACACTATGACAATTCTTATCAAACTATATCTATGAGTTTTGCCTACGAAATTACTTTAATTGTCTACTATATGAATAAAAAGTTAGGTCCAAGTTTAATCTTTCTGAAACTACAATGATTCACAATAATGCGACAGTTTATGTTTGAAGAAAGAAAACGAGAATACATGATAGAATTATATTTGAGGAACCGACGGCTTTTCGTGACTCTTTTCAAATAGTGGCCGAATGAATATCTATAATTTAATAATTTTATATGGAAAGATTCCATTATAAAATATCACAAAGATATATAGATGACGAATTTTTCTTTTTAGTAACAGAAAACATTGTCAATTACTTTTATTGTTCAATATTAATAGAATTCTTTTGAAGAAGAACAACACATTGTATACACGGATGAACTCTTTTAGGTATTTGCGTATTTAAAACATCATTTACTAGGGGATCAACCTTACACGTAGCTAGCGTAGCGTTAGTAAGCATACCAACAACTCTCACTTCTAAATTGTCTCCTAAACACAGAGAACAACCTTGTTTCCATTTAGCTCCAAATAAGGTAAGACAATGTGATGTTCTTAACATATAAAATGAGTAATAATTGTTGCAGGAAAAATTTGCAAGGGAAATATACAGGAATAAATCATAATCGTATATTATTAAATCTTATTTTTACGACCTTATTCATTTAAAAATCAGGATATAATTAAGAAGAGAATGTCCCACCTCCAAGAAATAGACCATATTCACTGGACAAACGGATATTATTAGTTATTAATTAAGTTTGATTTGAGATGTAGTTTGGTATGTGTCAATAATCAATTACAATTGACTAATGAACTGCCATAAACCATTTGATACAAAAATTGACACGAATTTATTTGATCTGTATTGGATTTAGATAGACTATCGATGCAATTGAAATTCATTTCATTCAAACAAATAAATTCATTTCATGGAATTGAACTGTTCGTTTACTTTTTTACTTTTTAACAATGATAAAATAATTGTTAGTAAATTTTCTTTTTTTTAAAAAAAAAAAGTTATAAAAAATAACAGTGTAACCGGCAACAGAATATTGCTGGTTTTTACAATTCAGAACTGTAGATTAGAAGCGCTGGTTCTCAGTTTTTAGAAAGAAAAAAACCGGTTTTGGTCTCCAAAATTTGGGGGGTAGTCAGACCGAGTCACCAAAAACTTTTCTTTACCAAATTTACTCTTCATAAAATTTTTTCTTACCAGTTTTGATTTTTTTTAACGAAATTTGGAGGAAATTAACGGTTCCCCGTTACATGCATAATATTTTATTAATTTCTTCATGACAGTAAGACCCACCAATTTTGACCCAAAAAATAAAGAAATGAGTAAAAACCAATTTCGGTTCCCAAAATTTAGGAAGTATCACCGTAAAATTTTTTCCAACGATTTTAATCACCAAAAATTTCTATCAATTTACAATTCAGGTAGAATTTTGAGATTTACACTAAAGATAAGCCGTATAAAACTCAAAAATTAGTGTCAACTATCTTTTAAGACAAAGATAATATACCATTGGCTTGTATAAGTTTATTACTTATTTGTTTTTAGTTTGCTAATTGGTAACTGCCCTCTACTGTTCGAGTAGTCAACCAAGCATTGGGGAGAGATTAGAACAAAATTGCACATGAATGAATTAGTCTATTTGTGGATTTCTAATCTGAATGAAAAAATATCTCTTTTATTCTCAGTAAAAATTAATTATTTTATCACAACGAATACGATGTTCAGTGCACAATGGAGAGAGTATTAACATTTTTTTTTTCAGATGGAAGTGGGGGAAATAAGAATAAAACATTTTGTTATTAAAGAGGAGGATTGTTGTAGTTGAATGAACCACCATATATGCAGCATAATGTAGTTGTTATCTTGGACCAACGTTCTGTAATATTGTAATTTTTGGTGAGTAAAATCGTTGGAGAATAACAATGATGAAATAAAATTTTGAAGAATTACATTTCCATTGACTAAAAATGATGAAATAAAAATTCAATTGAAGAATTACACTTACGAGGACTAAAAATGATGAAATGAAAATTTGTGTTGATTAAAGTCATTGGAAAAAATTTTATGATGATACTTCCTAAACTTTAGGGGCCAAAATTGGTTTTTACCTATTTCTTTTTGTTAGGTCAAAATTGGTGGGGCCTATCGTCACGGAGAAATTAATAAAATATATACATATAACAGAGAACTCTTAATTTCCTCCAAATTTTGTTAAAAAGATCAAAATTGGTAATAAGAAACTGTATTGGGATTAATTTTGGTAAAGAAATATTTTTGGTGACTCGGTCTGACTATTCCCCAAATTTTGGGGACCGAAACCGGGACTTGTCCTTTTAAAAATAATAGAAACTTAAACAAATCACCAATATAAGGTTGGATTATGGTTTTACAACCTTTGAAAAGGGTTCAAGAACTGGAAGCTTATTTTCCGGTTTGGTTCCAGTTCAAACTGGAACCCTGGGCTTGCTTAGTTAATATATACTTTTGCTGAGTTGCATGATTCATATATAACCCATTTTTATACAGCGATCTACCTTCTTCACAATAATGAGAATATCGATTAAATGCCATAGTCAAGTTTGTGTAAAAGTGTAATAAATTTACATTCACTGAAATAGCATAAACACTAAACATAACTTGAACTCGTAATTTCTGATCAATTTCAGACTGTGTATATTAAATAAACTATTTTTCTAGTGAAAAACACATTTAGAAATGGATTCAATTAAGATTGTTTTCCTCAATTTTCACGAACTATTGCTACTTGCTAGTTAGGAATCCGATTTTCATAAATATGAGATTTCCATTCAAAGGTACTTCTTTCAATTATAACTAATAGTTACAACACAAGAACGAACTAAAATAATGTTTAGACAGTATTGATTCCTCTTCAAAAAAATAAGAAAAATTGAATGTCTCTGGTGAGAATCTATCCTGAACCTCCAAGTAGTAATCAATCCATCTTAATTCTCTACTCACTCCTGACCCAACCCAATTCTCCCAACCAATGTAATCTGACGTTTGCTATGGCACGAAGATCCAAGAAGCGAGCTGAGGAACACAATTCTGATGAAGAAAAACGACCGGAGGTAAAGCAAATCAATCCAAGGGGAGGTTTTATACTGATTGGTGCAACTCGAGCTCAAGTAAGTTCAGCTTGTTCGATCTAATACGCAAGTCAATTTTCAGAAAAATAGTTTAAATTTGAGTGAAAGTAAGCATGTGGAGGTAGGAGAATGCTCAGGGGTGAAGGATCAGAATGATTCTCAGTCTGATAAAGATAATGTTACCGTTGCAAATGTGTGGACGAGTTCTAATCCTAAAAAGTTGAATAATGTTGAGAAGAAATAGCTATATGTTGGTAGGTTCAAATCTGTGGCGGCTAAAGAGGAAATGCTCAATATGTTGGTAGGTTCAATATGTTGGGGAACCATTCACTGTAAAAGAATGGTCTGTGGTTGAAGATGTGAACATGGAGGAAATTAATAAAGTTCCAGTATAGATCCAATCCCGTTGAGATATTGGAACCCTACAACCTTGAGCAGAATGGCTAGTATGGTTGGCAAGTCATTGGAGATGGATGAGATGACTGACAAAACAACATATGCACAACTGTTAGTTGAGGTGCAAAGTGCTAAAAAGCTAAAAGAAAGTGTTTTGGTATCAAGATGAAAATGGAAATCTACAAGAGCAAGTGGTGAAGCATGAATGGAAACCTATACGATGTAGAAACTATCATGGATATGGTCATGAAGTAGTGTAGTAGGATTCTGACCAGACAGGTGTGGAAGCAAATGAGTAGTATACAGAAAGATGAAGGGAAGATCAGAATGGAGGAAAACAAAATAGGAGTGGAG